CCCCAAAACCCCAAAACCCCAAAACCCCAAAACCCCTATTCAAGAATAACTGATTGAAAGTTGGAATTTTGTTAAATTTTGATTATATATTTCCTAGATTTGCACCGTTCCACGCTTACTGACAGTTTCTGGATCCTCCCCTTCTTCTAGAAGGATACCTTTATCAGCCATTTCAAGCTTTACTCTGTTGAAATAAGTTGGGTCAGGATACCCATAGGTCATAGTTCCTCCACAAGTATTTGTCTTATGATGGATTGAGTTCCAAACAACGACATTACTTCTACCGGTGGTCACAGAATCTCCCACTGTAAATGTGACCTTTCTCTTAAAGCTTTTAATAAGCAGAAATAAAACCTCTCTGCCTTCTGGAGTGTCTGGAATATAGGCAATTCTGCGGGTTCCTCTATAATTCACACCCTTCCTGACACCGTCCCAGAAGGAGTAATTAATAACATATGTGCCTGTCTTTTCGTATCCTTCGCAAGGATATTGTCCTTTGTTATAAAGCTCCCACGACATTTTGCCAGGAGGGGAATCTCCGATAAATTCTCCATAAATCATCGAGCAAACTGCACATTTTAGGTACTGAGCCTTCTTAATTGTTGTTGATTGGCTGAAGAGGCCACCTCCAGTGCTCTCATCAGAATATTGAACCATATAGTCTGTTCATTCTTTGTGATAGAAATGGTTTGGACAGTTTTTGAACTTGACTACATTTATTGAATCAGGATCCTTTAGCTGTTTTTCATGAATTTCCTTGATCTCCTTTTCACTGAGTTTGAAGATATCATCATAGAGCTCACATCGACAGATAGGACAAATCTCTTCCTCATCTACATCTTTATGATGCTTTCTTTCTTCTTTGAGGATTTCTGATAGTTCCAGAATAGTTATATCTCTCCATTTAGTAAGCTTAGCAGCATCTGTATCATGTTTACACATTCTCTGTGGATCCTTTATCTCTTCAATTTCTGGTAAAGGAGCCTTCTTCTTTGTGTATGAGCTATTTTTAGATAATTTGACAGGAATGTCATCAAAGAGTCCTTTTTTAGCCTGATTTTGGCTTAAAGAAACTTTATTTTTCCTAGATTTCTTTCCAGTTGGAGCTTTCTTCTTATGCGTTTTAGATACCTCAGGCTCTTCAACTTTGGAAGTATTCTTTGCAGCTTCTTGCTTAGCAGCCTTTGTTCTTGATCTTAGCTTCATAATGGCCCGAATTTATTAGTTTTAATTATTATTCAGCCTTTTCTTTTTATTATGGGGTTTTGGGGTTTTGGGGTTTTGGGGTTTTTGGGGTTTTGGGGTTTTGGGGT